AAGGATAATTTTATCTGGTCTTAGCAGGCATCATTATAAAATGTTTTTATTTGTTTTATTTGTTATTACCTGTTTCATTTTCAGTTTACAAAAAATAATTTAGCAACACACTATTATTATTGCCACTTCATTTTACAATTTTTAGTGTCACATCCATACAGTATCAAAATATTAAAAAAATACACTGAATACTTTTTTTTATAACAAAAGATACCCACATCAAGTTGTAGTATATTCAAAACTTCTCGGAAAACAATGATTGCAGTTATCATTTCTGTAATACCTTTAATATCGAGTAGTAGGTTAGACCACGCTAATTTTAGACCTATTTCTATGCTGTCAACACAGTAATTTTTTTTAAAAGGTTTCTTGATCTAGCTACAAAAAACCTGTGAAAATTAGCAATATCTTAATGGGTGCGTTTGGCAGAAAAAAGCGCTAGCAAGCGCTTATAAGCGCTGAAATAGTTTTCGGCCAGGACACGATTACTACTTCAGTAGCGCTGACACAATCCGCCATTTTGCTTATTTAATTTGTTTGTTTTGAAGTAGAGTTTATAAATTGTTTTGTGCAATATTAGTTTTAAGTAATATAATAACGTGAATAAACATATACATGTTATTAAAAATTCATGACTGGTAAGTTTTTAATATGAATACTTCACAAACATATATTTAAATTAGGTTAGGTTCCCCGGTTAAAACTAACATCGTGTCCTGGAGGAAAATAGCTACTTACGATTTGACAGCGCTTACCGCTTACGATCGCCATTTTGCTTACAAGCGCTTGCTAGCGCTTTTTTCTGCCAAACGCACCCAATGTTAAAGTTCCAGCCTAGATACGTCTCACTGCTGGGCACAGGCTTCCTCTTATTTCTGAGCGGGGTTTAGAGCAAGGAACCAACCAATGTGTATTCCAATCTGACTAATACTATACACATATTAGTAATCTGACATAATAGCGAAAACTCCATAACAACACATTACCTGTTTTTTGATTGGGGCGTCGATGTGTAGACGTTTAGTTTTGTATTGATTTAGTAATTAGTGTACCACCATACTTTAGAGGAAAGTAGGCTTTTAACACAAGCATTTTAAGATTGCTTGGAGTTTTTTTTAAATTACTTGCATAAAAAAAACCGAATTAGTATACTGGAAGCGACGCAGTCACGTAATAAATTACCTATAATTACAAGTGACGTCAATGATTCATCGTGATAAACTCAAGATTGAGCAATTAAACATAATTCATAGTATGCCTTGCCATAAATTTCTCATGTTTTATTTTTCAAAACAAGTCGTTTCCGTTCATAATATTATTCATATTATATATCCCTTCGTCCCCATCTATTACATCCTATAAAAGTCCACTGCACAATATTGGAAGCATAGGTTGCCCTATAGGGGACTTTATCATAGTTGCCATGCTATGCAGGCGGGCTTGTAAACAATTTTTTTTTATAATTTTGAGTCGTTATTAAGAAGTAGTTATTGGATTTGGGGATTCCCAGATTGTATTAGTTTATTTTTTTGCTTTATTCTATTATAATCACAGGGGTAGCCAGGCGAATTAGTAATCGTTGTACTTTTCGTCGTGCACCTTTAACGCTTTGCCGACATTACCACTTTCCATTTTTTAATGCAACTTGTAGTTCGGGTCGATTAAGGAATACGGATGGAGATATCTGCTGGTACTGTATTGGAACCTTTGTAGCTGAATAATAGTCGATTTGATACTTGTTGTGCATTCCGCCTCTGCGGTGGCAGATTAGCCGGTATTAGGTGGTAGAAAATGAATGAATGAATTTTATTTATTATATCATAATAAATAAAATTCATAATATATTCATATTCTTATAATCAATGAATTTCATTTGTTAAGTACGCGAGCAAAACGCGTTTTATTGTCAGAATAAATTAAATTGTTGATTTCAATTTTAGATGTTGATGTCCTGTACTGTTGTATCCTGTCAATTGCATATATTTTGTAGCGTTGATTTAAATTTACACGCGATAAAAGAGTAAAGTTTGAGGAAACTTAGATGATTATTTCTAAAATAAGTATGGGAAACACCCACATACATTTACTTTATACTTTTAATGAGACTTTTAAACAGTGTTTAGCGAGTTTAATGAATTTCAGGTTCTAACCTCGAGAGTACCGGGATTATTTGTGTATGACATAATTTTACCATGGCAGCTCTACGCATAGCTTCCTCACGTGTTTCTGTGGCCCAAAACTTGCACGTATTCGCTAAGCAAAAAAACTTATATTAATTTATTTTTACTTTCATTATTTTTATAACTTATATAATTTAGTCTAGTGTGGTGAATTTATCGCAGTTGAGTAATCTGCAACATTTAGTGAAAATGCTTTCAGTAATAAAATATTCGTCGGCTTTTGTTTAAATACGAGCGGAGCCGTGAGTAAAAGGTAGTTGGTTGAGTGGGTAAAAGTATTATACTTTAAACAAACATTATGTTATAATGGTAAAGATATGCTAGATATTATTACGTAAATAACGTTACTTTTTCAATAAAGTTGACATTGATAAAGTTATGAAATAAGTAAGTAACATTTTGTATAGAGAAAAAAATTTGAAATATACTCGTAATAATAGAACTCGTCGACCATTAGTAGTAGTGGGATTAATTTTTTTTGCAAATATTACTATTTATGATACAACACAATATAATGTCATCATTTGAAAAAGTATCTGTCTACGATTTCTTTCGTGTGGAGTTCAAATTATGTACATGATGTCCCCCGGGAGGAGGAGGATGAGTGTATAAAATTTAACAGCTCTATAACGAACATATGCCGATAGATAAAGTACGCCATTAATTTTTGCCAATTTTTCAGCTAAAACGATTGAACTGACCTATGCTTGACTATACGGCTATGACTTATTGTCGTTGGGCGATTAGGGCTTATGCGTCGTTCCCATGCCGAGCCAGGCTTTGAATTATTTAAATTTTTCTTTATCTCTACTATGCGTCCAAATAAAACGCCATAAAGAGCAAAATTTATCTTCAGAAAGTTGTCTTGATGATGAAGTAACTTTCGTTCGTAAGGATTAATACGCCATGCCTAATAATAACGTTCATAAATCACTTTTTGATTTTCAATATTTTATGTCACAAAATATCTTATTGTGGCTAATGAATAAGAAATGCATGTGGTACCGCGGATTAGGTGTATTAATGATCTACATTTTTGTAGACCATTGTATTTTTTTTATAGAAGAGGAAGCAAACGAGCATGCGGCTCACCTGATGTTAAGTGAGTACCGCCGCTCATGATCAACCGCAACACCAGGGGAATTGCAGGTGCGTTGTCGGCCCTTTAGAAAGGAGTAAGCTCTTTTCTTGAAGGTCCCCAGGTCGTATCGGTCCGGAAAAATTGCCAGTGGTAAACTATTCCACAGAGAGGTTGTACGCAGAAGAAAACTCCTTTTGAAACGTACAGTGATGGACCGCCAAGCATCCAGATGGTGTGGATGGTATCGGGACGTTTGCCGCGTAGTGCGTTCACGAAATTTGGCGGCTGGGATTATCAGAACAATTCCTCAGAGCACTCCCCATAATATATGCGAAAAAAAATGCAAAGAGATGCAACATCTCTTCGCAGCGCCAGTGAATTGAGCCGATCGGAAAGCACTCGGTCGTCGACGATTCGAGCCGCCCTGCGCTGGATGCGGCGCTGGTGCGCTGGAGCTGGTACTATATATATATATATATATATATATATATATATATAATTTTTATTGTAATTATGTATCAATAAGTATAACGCCAGCGCACGCAGTTAAATCATTTGAGGGGCCTTTTTTTGACTTGCTTAACAAAAAGCCGGTTTTAAGAAGCCGGTCTAAAATACTGGTTATATTGTAAGGATATACTTATATTGTAAGAATAGTAGAGCATACAGGACCTCATAAATTAGGTTTAAAAAAACCACTATTATTACACAATCGGAAATAGTAATATTTAGAAATAGAATTTAATACAATATTTAATTGGCTCGTAGTCGAAACTGGCAGACACGCGATGGTACGGAGAGAGATGTTAGGGATTCAGCGGTCGGGCAGAGATTGACTTTTGACTCCTCACCGGGAGCGGGAAGCAGAGCTGACTTTAAATAATGGCATGACTAATTAGTGGAAATCTATGTAATCAATCGTTATCCATGAAGGTTTTCCCTGGCATTGGGAAACCGTAACATCCCCCCGATTTAGAGTAAGCTACACTCTTAAAAGTGGAGTTTATGTTTAAGTTAATGAAATATGAATTAGCCGATTCGAAGAGAGGGTCCCGTGTTCACATTTTAGGTGTTAATGTCATCTAATTCAATGTCATTATTTTCGGGAGCTTTATTTTCTCTAGATTTCATTATTTTCTTGTGTATGCCAGTTTCATACATCTTATAAATAATAAAGCACATAATAAAAATTATAATTACAATTGTGATACCTGAGTAATATTTTTGATATAAAACAATATGTGGTTTTCAATAATACTGTTAAGGCTTTTCAGGATTTCAGGATCATTATAAGCTAAGGAATATAAGTTAACAATCTTAAGATTAACTACAGGTAAGTTTGATACAAATATTATTATACGCTACAATATTACAACAAGAATCATTTAAAATATTAAAATTAGGTACAATAGTTTTCAGTTGAATTTCATGTGGTGTTAAACGAGTGGGCTTAACCGAACTGAAAGAGAAGGGTAGGGAGAAGAAACTCTAATTAGAAATTATAAAAAGATTGATTTAAAATATGCGTCCTAGATGATCGGAGCAAATTGGGACAGTTTAAAAGAACAAACTTTAAAAGAACCAGGAATAAATTTTTGAGTATTATATAGCGGAAAGTTCTCAATGCGGAAGTGGAAATGAAGAACAGAATAATATGTCTGGAATGCTAAATATGCTACAAGAACTCAATCGCCATGAATTTGATGAAAGAGACGTTCAAGTATTGATGACTGTCGAAGATGCAGATCCAGGGCATCTTGCAGGATAGCGAAATTGGTGACCTCGATGTCATGAGTGAAAAAGCTGATGCCGCCAGCATCTCGTCAACTAGTGGTTCAGAAAATGAAGTCGAAAATATTTCTACTGCTTCTGAAGCTTTTACATGCTTAGATACTGCTTTGCGATGGTTTCAAGCTCAAGATGAAAGCGACCAGTATCAGACATCTGTCCTGAAAAAAGTGCGTGACTTAGCTGCGTGTAAGAGGGCAGGTTCGCTTCGACAGACCAAAGATAAGAACTTTAAACGTTAATTATATAGGCATACTGTATGTTCAATATTGATTTTACAATATTTTTTTTTGTTTACTAAGCTATCTGAACTTTATTTATATCCCTACTTACAGCTTCAGTGAAAGAAATTTGTATTACATATAAATATGTTTTCTTGGTATATTAGTACATAATATTATACAGTTCTATTATCCGAACCGGTTTTCCGAACACCCATTTTCCCCAATTAGTTCGGATAATCGACGCTCTACTGTATATACTTAAAATATATACTTCTGATTGTTGTCACTGGTAATTGTTGCGCAATTTTTAAACAAACAGGTGTTTTAGACCGGCTTCATCTGACGCCATCTATATCAATTGATGATGATGTCGGGCGGAAACGGTTGATGTTTATACAGATAATAAATTAATAATTTAAAATAAATTTGTGTAAATAAAAATCACAAAAATTAAAATATATTTAATTTATCAGTGGCTCGGAAAATATCTGTCCTGTGAGTGAGGCAGTTACTATTTATAATACTTTTATTATTGTATTATTTTTTGTTCTTAAGAAACTATAAAATTCCCCAAGAATGAAACATCGTTTTGACGAATTATTAACTCTCACAAGTTACACACTTCACTATTGTACAACAGATAATTAAAGTTCCCGATAAGACGGTTGCGTGACATACTACACTTCTTAGTAATTAAAAATGTAATGACGTTTTCAGAAACGTAGTTTTTAGATTTTTTTTTTGTAGAAAAATCTACTTTCCAATCGAATAACAATACGGTTGCAAATTACGTTTTTGAACGAAAATCAAGTTAGGTATATATAGTACGTGAGGGTAATGTGGTCATCCGGTTAATATGGTCACTTTCTTATAACTCAAAAACTACAGCCGTGTTTGCATTGATGGCTCTGTGGTACGATAGCTCTTCATCGGTTAATCAAATAATAAAGCGTGAAAAGGGCGATGCTTCATCGACGCCATTTTGACAGTTGATATTATAGTAAATATTTTAGTCGGTTTTAGTATGGTGTAGTGTAGTTAGTTTTGTCAAGTAGATTTTTCAGTGTTTCTCATTATTGACTAAGCTTGTTTGCAATTTTTTTCTTAATATATTAGTCATAGTATACGACTTTCTGTTTTTGTCTCTGTCTTTTTCCTAGTTTTAGTTTTATAGGGCGGCAAAGCTTAAGGTGACCATGTTACCCTCACGTGCCTTATTATATGGTGGTGTAAAAACAATTTAATCCCTTTTTAAAAATGAGATAATAGTAGAATTACGTTTCCCCTTTCAAAATTGAAGTTACATACGAAATACCACATGTTAATAAGTGGTTATTGCAGCCAATGGCACCTGGAAACAACTTCAAACAAAGAAGACTATGGATGCGTTGTCAGTTATGAGGACTAATAAAACAGCCTGTACTGGCTCTTTACATCACAGTCACACAGTAGATGCACTGCTTCTTGGCGACGGACATGAAGAGATTCATTCACGTAGAGCCACACTGCAGTTATATCATGGTTGTAGCACGAATTGGTCGGCTCAACCTGGGAAGGACCACGCTCTCACAGAATACCAGCGTACTACACCAGCTTAATGCTGCTGTGTTTCGTAGCAAGTGTAGAGAACCGGAGATTCTTTTTTACTGGAAAGAGTCCTCAGGGGCGACAACGCATTTACCTTTATTTTTATTCTTAATCGTGTATATATGCAGATGTCTATTGGCCACAGCATCCACTTACCATCACAGGTGGACTACGTGCTCTTTGTCACATTTATTTTACAAAAAAAATATATAAATGAGAATAGAATATAACGCATTTTTGCAATCGCTACACAATAGACGTACGATAAACTGAAAAACATTATGCAGATGTTAACTGTGACTTAGCTTATAAATACACGTGTTTTTATTAACGGTATAAATTATTTTTGTATCCCATTTTATTGTTTTGAGTCTTTCCCGCTTGTCCATTCAACACCGAATAGATAGGCTTATTGTATGTCGTATAATAATCTTTAGCATCCGATAGTTTAAACCATCTCGTAAATGCCAGATGTAACCAGACAATATTGGCTACGCGAAGCAGCGGCAAATGTGTGAATGTGAGGTACTGTAATCCGCAAAAGCCAAATTCTTACTATTACTATCTACCTATTTTCTGGTAAGTATTTACTAGCTAATGATGATGAAAAAGAAAAATACTTTAAGGGCAACTGATGAATAGTGATTGTAAAAGCAAGACGGTTCTGTAGCGCAATGGCGTTTGGTCGGGGCGCCGCAGGTCTTCGAGTTCGAAACCCGCACGGAAACAAGTGTTTATATGGCCTACAAATAATTGTTTTTAAACCGCCTCCACAACACGAAAAAACTATTTTGTGGCTGACTTTTTTCTTAAAATACAACTTTCATTAATAAAAATATGATACTCACGGAAGTAATATTTTTTGTCCGACTGCTTTCCCCAGCATAACACCGACCACTGTTTTTTAACACCAGAACAGTTAAAGTGTGCGCGTCCGCATCCGGCACAACCCTGTATATTTCCGAGAACCGTATCTTCTCTGATGAGAATCTTTCCTACACCACTGTTATTCGGGGTAATTATTACAATTTTTTCTTCACTGTTCTCCTTAGGCAACATAAGGGATGTCGAAGTCATTTTTTCCAAATTTTGATGTTCCATTTTTTTTGAAGTTATGCTAATCGCATGTTGTTTTGTTTGAATATCCTAACAAGACCGGGCAGTTAACGTTCAACGTGTTCCCGCGCCACTGGACAGTCGCCGACTGAACGTGCCCTGTGGGTCAAATCTGCTTATCATTGACTTATTTTTTTTCCAATGTATTGGTTTATATGTGTTATCATTGTGTTACGATTTATGCATTCTGAGATAGAATGTTAAGTTTTCTTTAAATATGTCCCTGAGTTTAAGTCTATATTAACATTTTATTATTCTACCGTGTGTGTGGGTTAGTGGTAGATAGCTATGGTTTCATGAATGACGTTTAGTGTTTATGAGTGATTAAAAGATCGATTGACGGCTTGAGTTATTTGCCCTTGAATATGAATTCAGTTAAATTCATAGTAAAAGTACTTTACTATCTACAAAATAAACACGCCCTTTACTTTAAAAATATGTATGATATTCAATAAAATAAATAAATATCAGGTTTTATTATAAAATGATAATTAATAACACATATTGACAATACAGATAATTAAAATATTTTTCATACCAACGTAACATAACATGTAAACAGTTACCTTTGCAACCTAGTCCGCTGATAAACATAGATCTTCCCATAGGGAGATATTTGCCATAGTTGCCACGATTGGCAAGCGGGCTAGCAACTTTATTAGATGCTGCTCTGTCGCCTCTAACGAGACTCAAGGGATGATATGGTGTTGTAGATATTCTTACACCGCCACTACACGGTAAACTTATGTAAATAATGGACAAAATAAATTAAATTTTGAAAAAAAATAATAATATTATTCTATGTCAGCCTAATGAATTCGTTACTGGGTATTAATACATAAATAAACATAAACACTCACGCCTGTCACCCAGAGGGGTAGGCAAAGTCTACAGACTTCCATTTAGCACGATCCTGACATACGTCTCTCCCCTCTTCCACATCTTTATTTTTTTTTACTGTGTATTATTATAAGTATTTTTTAAGAATACGCCAAATGACGCACGTCTAGTTTTTCTCATGCATACTCATCATGCTTGCACGCGGCAAGCATCTTAAGGATGTGTGTAATATAGTATAATAACCTCTATTTGGAGTCAGTCAGACAAAAACGTCAGTTCTTGATAAAATTATATGGGACCACATGAAAAGACCAGCTTTCAATTAAAAATCATAAAAATCGAGTTACCAAGAAATAATTTCTGCGGTAACACATAAAAAAATGCAGTCAAATTGAAAACCTCCTCCTTTTTAGAAGACAGTTGAAAAGATACGTGAGTACGCTTAAAGATAGACGTCATTGATGATTGTCTTTAAAAATTATCCTTGCTCTTGCTCTCATTGCACAAACTTATCATAAAAGTTGATTTTATAATAGATACCATTGAAAAACCGGAGTCCATCGAAATTTTTCAACTGTATCCGAATAAAGCAATGGGCCAGACGTCGCACACGGCAGGCGTGAATACTCTCACTAGCTGTAGTCACGGAGTTTGCTGCACGATTATCGATAAACTCTTTAATAAATTTTTTACTGCTTCTTCGGAATTGATATATTTTATCCTATAAAAAAGTTATCAAAACTTCTAAAAAATTTACGTGGTAGAGGCACTGTGAATGGGTCGGCTCGACCCGGAGCATAATGCTGCTGTGTTTCGTAAGTGTAGAGAATCGGAGACCCTTTTTACAGGAAATGAGGCATTCTTTCTCAGTACTCAGGGGTGATAACGCATTTGCATTTTGATTCTTAATTGAGGATAAATGTAGATGTATATGGGCCACAGCATCCACTTACCATCAGGTGGACTGTGTGCTCGTTTGTTACCCTTATTCTATAAAAAAGATGGAAGTCTGAGGCAATATATTATGGTGAAATTCATCAGATATTTATTAGGTTTCTTTATTTTACGTATTTGTCGCAAATTATCTCATTTTTTTTGCTCCTCCATCAACAACAGACGCTATCAAAGCTGTAGTTTGAGACGGATCCGCTTCCGCCATCGCTCTCAATTTGTCACTATAAACTATCTTCTACGGGCTGCCGTGAGATCGCGGGATTCATTTGATAAATTTTCTCGAACGTAAGCAATGATCTACAACCATTTTTGCCACCAGAAACCATGTGAAATATGTATTTGACGAATTACCTATATGGCGGGGAAGTTAACTTGTTGGGAAAAAGTAAGGTATAAAATTTCATTTTTCTTTTTGTAATATTAGTTATATTTTATGTTAATTAAATTAGAAATGAATAAAAGAAATAATCCTAAACATAGAAAAATTAAGAGCCAAAAATGTGAAAAACATAAGGAACAAATCATTGAGGTGACTAGCGCCATCTGGTCAACGAATGATTATAAGTCTTCATTGAACTAATAATGAATTCTTTGTTCAAGGAAACAAATAAAGTAATTATAAAAATAAGGTGCCCTAAATAAAATATTTATATTACTTAAATTTCAAATTCCAAGTCAAACGGTAGTTCAAAGATTTTTTACCTATGAAACATCTTTGCGATGGCTATTACAGTTACCTTTTGTCTTTTTTTTAAAAAATTTAAAAATACGAAAATTTTAATTAAACTAATTACACTCATGTTTTTTTTTCAAATAACCAGTTAACATTAACATAGGTACATCACTCACCTTCGATTTGCCGACGATATAGTCCTTATGGCAGAATCGCTGGAGAACTTAAGCACTATGCTCAATGATCTCAATAGTGCCTCTCAACGGATAAGTCTTAAGATGAACATGGACAAAACGTAGATCATATGTAATATCCATGTCACACCTATGCCGGTAGTTGTTGGGAGCACTAAGCTCGAAGTTGTTGACGAGTACGTTTACCTGGGACAAATAGTCCGGCTAGGTAAGTCCAACTTCGACCGAGAGGTCAATCGACGGATTCAACTCGTTCGGGAAATTACGACACATCTTCTCGTCAGGTATACCTCAAAACCTGAAAACTAAGTTGTACAACCAGTGCGTGTTGCCAGTGATGACATATGGAACTGAGATGTGGTCCTTCACTGCTGGCCGTATGAGGACGCTCAAGGTCGCTTAGCGAGCTATGGAGAGGGCTATGCTCGGAGTTTCTCTGCGTGATAAACTTAGAAATGAGGATATCCGCAGTAGAACCAGAGTGACCGAAATAGCCCAACGGATTAGTAAGCTGAAGTGGCAATAGGCCGGCCATATAGCTCGAAGGACCGACAACCGTTGGGGAAAAAAGGTTCTCGAGTGGCAGCCTTGTACCGATAGACGAAGTGTGGAGCGACCCCCCACTAGATGGAGTGACGACCTGGTAAGACATGCAGGAAGTCGATGGATGCAGGTGGCTCAGGACCGTGCTTTGTGGCATACCTTGGGGGAGGCCTATGTTCAGCAGTGGACTTGTAAAGGGCTGTAATGATGATGATGATGATGAACCAGTTCAGTTTTTTCTATTATGTAGAAAATAAAAAAATATTATTGATGTTTCATGAGTATGTAATTTGTATCTAAATGTAGGTCATCCAGGTACTTGTTTTTAATTATGTTGTATAAAATAGGATTCATCTGGATTTGGTATCATAGCACATACAAGTTCATCCACCACATCAGGAGAAATGCAGTTAATCATACACAACAATATGGGTGTGTGAGGCAGACCCCGTTACTACCATTCGGTAGAGAACATGAAACAACATACCTCTCCAAATATTTTTCCTTTGGTTAGAAGTCTCATTATTTTCTTAAATGTGAGGTGAAAAACCGTGGCTATTAGGTCGTGTCTACTATAACTTTTTTGCCCAGGCATATCCGTGATTTAATAACATCTTCAAACTCGCTGCCCTTCATGATTTCCTTCATATCGTAACTGTGATACTCTATACCCTTCAAGGTGTTTGCACGGATAGGTATTTACTTGCAGCTTGAATATGAATGAATGAATGAAATATACTTTATTGTACACCAGAAATACATATGAGAGAAAAAAAATTATTCAAAGGTACAATTGGTGGCCTTATTGCTACAGGGCAACCATTGCAGAGGATAAAGTGACCTGTGAAAAGGGTAAGGATGTACGTAGGTTGTTGGAAAATACCACGACATAAATATAATTATATAATCCGTAAATACATACATACAATAGTAAATAAATACATTTTAAATACAAAAATAATGACATACATATACAAAAGCAAACAGAATTAAAGAAGTAAATGTAATCAAAGCCTTAACGTAAGGAAAAACAAGTAGGTAGTAGATTTTTTTAGAGGAATGACTAGAAAGAAGTGCGCTTTCACAAGTATTCAAACTTTTCAATAGATTGTGCACTTCTAATGTGCAGAGGTAGGGAGTTCCAGAGCCGAACAGCTTCAATAAAAAAGGATTTAGAATAGAAGGAATTGTTATGGGATGGAATTTTTTGGGTGAATTTTTTATCAGAGTAAAGAGAGCGACAGTGAGTGCCACCAAGGAACTCAAACCGCTCTTTAAGGTAAGCAGGGGAAGTGGAATTGTATAGAATACAGTATAAAAAAGGAAGAATGTGAGTATTGAAGCCACTTGAGTTTTTCGCGATATTCGGAAACATGTTCACATTTTCGAAGTCCAGATATGAACCATATGCTGGGGTTCTAAATGCGCTCAAGTTTATTGGAGCGGAGCTAGCGAAGCGAGTGAAGCTCCCATGGCGCAAGAAAACAATTCTTTGTAATCTATCTCCCCCGTAACCCGTAGTTTCTTTTACTATCTAATCAATTCGCTTATCTACATCTGCGCAATTTCACACCATTTGATTGAATCTTTTGTTGAAATAAAGATAGTTATGACTTTAGACTTTTACTCCGCTCCATTTTTGATGCTAGCAAAAGGTTTTACCTTTGCATCTGAATCGGCCCTTGTTAAGCAACTACTCATTTAGATTGAGATAACACGTGGTCAGCATAATCGAAAATCGGTTCGGAAATAATTTA